ATATGGAGTAAGTCAAGAGAAACATATATGAACAAAATGGAAATATCAGCAAAAATAAAATCTAAAAGAAACCAAAATAATTTCCAGAACTGGAAAACAACTGAAATGAAAAATAACTAGAGAGCAAATTCAAAGGCAGATTTAAACAGGCAGAAGAATCAATGAACTTGAACACAGAATAGAAATGATCAAATCTAAAGAACAGAAGAGACACTGAAGAAAAATGAACAGAGCTTAAGAGATCTTGAAAAACCATCAAGTAGACCAACACAGGCATTGCGGGAATCACAGAGAACAGAAAGAAGCGTAAGCAGGCAGAGTATTTTAAGAACTAGCGTCCATAAACCTCTCAAATTTGAAGACAGAAATGAAAACAAACATGCAAGCTGAACGAACTTCATGTAAGATGAATTCAAAAATACCCAAATGCAGTATCTCATGCCTGTAATCCCAGTACTTTAGCATGCCAAAGCACGAGGACAGCTTGAACCCAGGAGTGTGAGACAAGTCTAGGCAATATGACAAAACCCCATCTCTAAGAAAGCAAATAAAAAATTAAGTGTGCATTGCGGTGCATACCTGTAATCCTAGTTAGTTACTTGGGAGGCTGAGGTAGGACGATCACTTGAGCCCAAGAGTTCAATGCTACAGCAACTATGATCCTGCTGTGTCCAGAATTGGTGGGTTCTTAGTCTCGCTGACTTCAAAACGGGAGCCACAAACCTTCCAACGAGTGATACAGTTCTTGAAGATGGCAGTCCGGAGTTCCTTCCTTCAGACGTTCAGATGGGTCTGGAGCTTCTTGGTCTCGCTGACCAGAGTAAAGCTACAGACCTCCCTGGTGTTACAGCTCTTAAAAGCAGTACCTCTGGAATCATTCATTCTTCCCAGCAAGAGGTCATGTTGTCACTGACTTCAAAAACGAAGCCTCACACTTTTGCGGTGTCACGACTCATACACGCAGTCTTAACCCAAAAAGATAACAGCAGCTACAACTAACAGCAACAAAAATCCACTGCAAAGCAAAAAAAAAAAAAAAAAAAAAAAAAAAAAAAAAAAAAAAAAAAACCCCCCCAAAAAAAAAAAAAAAAAAAAAACCCCACCAAAAAAACAAACACCGCCACCAAAGAAGACACAAGCAACTCACTGCCACCTGGCGTGGGCAGCCTGCTTTTATTCCCTTATCTGGCCCCACCCACATCCTGCTGATTGGTCCATTTTACAGAGTGCTGATTGGTCCATTTTACAGAGAGCTGATTGGCCCATTTTACAGAGAGCTGATTGGTCCATTTTGACAGCGTGTTGATTGGTGCATTTACAAACCCTGAGCTAGACACAGAGTGCTGATTGGTGCGTTTACAATCCCTTAGCTAGACATAAAAGTTCCCCAACTCCCCATCAGACTTAGAAGCCCAGCTATCTTCACCTAGTGGATTCTACAGACGGATTATAAGCGGAGCTGTGTGCCGGTCCCGAGTCGCGCCAGCGCTCTTCAGCGCTTGGGCCCGTGGAGCAGCGGACGGCGCCCGTTGGGGAGGCTCGGGTGGCTGGGGAGCCCACCGTGGCGGGGGCGGGCTCGGTCATGGCGGGCTGCAGGTCCCGAGCCTTGCCCCGCGGGGAGGCAGCTGAGGCCCGGCGAGAACTCGAGCACAGTGCCGGGCCGCCGGCATCCTCTGCAGTTGCTGGCCCGGGTGCTAAGCCCCTTACTCCCTGGGCCGGCGACTCCGGCCGGCCGCTCCGTGTGCGGGGCTCGCGCTCGCCGAAACTCGCGCTGGCCCAGGAGCGCCGCGCGCAGCCCCGATTCCCGCCAGCGCTTCTGCCTCCACACCTTCCCGCAAGCAGAGGGAGGCGGTTCCGGCCTCGGCCAGCCCAGGGAGGGGCTCCCACAGTGCCGTGGTGGGCTGAAGGGCTCCTCAAGCGCTGCTAGAGTGGCCGCCCAGGCCGCGGAGGCGCCGAGAGCGAGGGCTGCTAGCACGTTGCCACCTCTCAACGCCACTGCACTATAGCCTGGATGGTAAAGTGCGAGTCTGTTTCCAAAGAATCAGGTGGGTGTAGTGGCTCATGCTTTTGGGAGGCTGAAGCAAAAGAAGAATCACCTGAGCTGAAGAGTTTGAGACCAGCTTGGGCAACATAGTGAGACCTTGTTTCTAAAAAAAAATAGCCAGATGTAGATGGCACACACGTATAGTCCCAGCTACTTGGGAAGCTGAGGTGAGAGGACCGCTTGAGCCCAGGAGGTTGAAGCTACAGTGAGCTATGATTGTGCCACTGCACCCCGGCCTAGGTGGCAGAGTAAGACCCTATCTCAAAAATTAAATTCAATTGGCCGGATGCAGCTGCTGACACCTGTAATCCCAGCACTTTGGGAGGCTGAGGTGGGTACATCACCTGAGGTCAGGAGTTCAGGCCCACCTTGGACAACGTGGTGAAACCCCATCTTTACTAAAAATACGAAAATTAGCCAGGTGTGGAGACACGTGCCTGTAGTCCCAGCTACTCAGGAGGCTGAGGCAGAAGAATCACCAGTAGGTAGAGGTTGCAGTAAGCCAAGATAGTGCCACTGCACTCTAGCCTGGGTGACAGAGCAAGACTCCATCTCAAAAAAAATTAAAAAATCAAATTAAATATTTAAGAGGGAGTCACACCAAGACACATTATAATTAAACTTTTGAGGCCAGGCGCGGTGGCTCACGCCTATAATTCCAGCATTTTGAGAGGCCAAGGCGGGTGGATCACCTGAGGTCAGGAGTTCAAGACCAGCCTGGCCAACATAGTGAAACCCGTCTCTACTAAAAATACAAAAATTAGCCAGGCATGGTGGTGGGTGCCTGTAATCCCAGGTAGTCGGGAGGCTAAGGCAGGAGAATCGCTTGAACCTGGGAGGCAGAGGTTTCTATGAGCCAAGATCGGGCCACTGCTCTCCAGCTTGGGCAACAAGAGTGAGACAGACTCTGTCTCAAAATAAATAAATAATAAATAAAATAAAAAGTATAATAATGAATTAATTGATTAATTAAACCAAGAACTAATCTAAAGCTAGTATTACTGTAACTGGTTTGTAACTACACATTTTGTTTGCTATATAATTTAAGACACTAACTTTTTAAAAATTATTGTCAGTTTAAGCTTTGAGGCATAGAATGTATAAAGATACAATTTTATGACATCAACAACCACAAGAAAAAGAGATGGCACTGTAAAACAGCAGAGTTTTTATATGATACTGAAGTTGACCTGGTATAAATTCAAACCAAAGTGTTATAACTTTAGGATGTTGATACAATTTGGCTGTGTCCCCTCCCAAATATCATCTTGAATTGTAGTTCCTACAATCCCCATTTGTCATGGGAGGGACGTGGCGGAAAGTAACCACCCATGAGGATGGTTACCTCCAAGTTGCTGTTCTCATGATAGTGAGTGAGTTCTCACGAGATCTGACAGTTTTATAAGGGGCCTTTCCCCCTTTTGCTCAGCACTTCTCCTTGCTGCCGACATGTGAAGAAGGACATGTTTGCTTCCCCTTCCACCCATGACTGTAAATATCCTGAGGCCTCCCAGCCATAGTGAAGTGTGAGTCAGTTAAGCCTCTTTCCTTTATAAATTACCCAGTTTTGGGTATGTCTTTGTTAGCAGCGTGAGAACGAACTAATACAGATGTTAAATGTAATGCCCATTGTAATCATAAAGAAAATAGCTGTAGAATATACACGGAAGAAAATGAGAAGAAATTCAAACATTTTGCTATTTAAAAAAATAACCAAACACACACAAAAAAGCTTGTAATGCAGGAAATGAGGTCTAGAAAAGCTATGAAGCATATAGAGGACAAATAGCAAAATAACAGCAGTACATCTCTCCTTATGCACTGAGAAGACAACACCCCTGGATATTCTTGCCACAGATGCACAACTTGAATCTACTCGCAAGGAAACATCGGATAACCCACACAGAAGGACATTCTGCAAGTCAAGACCACAAAAAACAAAGGCACTAAAAGATGACAACTAAATGCATCCTGTGATCTTGGATTGGCTGCTGGACTGGGGGAAAAGCATGTATCAAATTATAGTATTGTATTGCTGGTGAGTTTCCAGATTCTGATAACTACCAAAGTGACTATGTAAGAGAATGACCATTTTGGAAATATACACTGAAGTACTCAGGGGTGCAGAGGTGGGGTGTTTCTAACATAACCTCACATGATTCAAATCATCTTCATTATTATTGGATTCTGTATTTGTGGGTTCACCTCTAGCTAAATTTATTTGTAACAAAATCAATACTTGGGCCCTTCTGTGGGCATTTGAAAGCCAGTGCATACACAGAGTGGTGAAAAATTGGTGTCTCCAGAGACTAAAGTCACCTGCTGAGGTGAAGCAGTCAGCACTCATCTCCCTGTTTCAGCCCTCCGACCCGTAAACAAGTGTCCTTTTCACAGTCTATTTAGTGTCACGTTTTTCACAGTTTTGTGCTTCTTGTTGGTGATGTCACCATTTAAAATGGCCCCCTGCAGTGCTGAGGCTGTCTAGTGTTCCCACGATCAAGAAGGCTACATGTGCCTTTGGGAGAAAATATCCACGTTAGATAAGTTTCATTCAGGCATGAGTTTTAGCACTCATTGACCCCTATGGCCACGTGGGGTCAATGTCAGTGGATCAACAATATGTATTAAATAAGGTGTATTTAGGCCGGGCACAGGGGCTCACACCTGTAATCCCAGCACTCTGGGAGGCTGAGGCAGGTGGATCACCTGAGGTCAGGAGTTTAAGATCAGCCTGGCCAACATAGTGAATGAAACCTTGTCTCTACTAAAAATACAAAAATTACCTGGGTGGTTTTTTGTTTTTTTTTTTTGGCACGCACCTGTAATCCCAGCTACTCAGGAGGCTGAGGCAAGACAATCACTTGAACCCAGGAGATGGGGGTTGCAGTGATCAAGATGGTGCCACTGCACTCCAGCCTGGGCGACAGAGTGACTGTGTCTCAAAAAATAATAATAATAAAAATCACTTCTGTCCAGAACGGAACCCAAGATGGCTGCGCTCTTGCTGAGACATGTTGGTCGTCATTGCCTCCGAGCCCACTTTACCCCTCAGCTCTGTATCAGAAAAGGTGTGGGGCAGTGGTAGCCAGATGTGGAATGGGCACAGCAGTTTGGGGGAGCTGTTATGTACCCAAGCAAAGAAACAGCCCACTGGAAGCCTCCGCCTTGGAGTGATGTGAACCCTCCAAAGGACACAATGGTGAAGAACATGACCCTGAACTTTGGGCCCCAACACCCAGCAGCGCATGGTGTCCTGCGACTAGTGATGGAATTGAGTGGGGAGATGGTGCAGAAGTGTGATCCTCACATTGGGCTCCTGCACCGAGGCACTGAGAAGCTCATTGAATACAAGACCTATCTTCAGGCCCTTCCACACTTTGACCGGCTAGACTATGTGTCCATGATGTGTAATGAACAGGCCTATTCTCTAGCTGTGGAGAAGTTGCTAAACATCCGGCCTCCTCACCGGGCACAGTGGATCCGAGTGCTGTTTGGAGAAATCACACGGCTGTTGAACCACATCATGGCTATGACCACACGTGCCCTGGATCTTGGGGCCATGACCCCTTTCTTCTGGCTGTTTGAAGAAAGGGAGAAGATGTTTGAGTTCTACGAGCGAGTGTCTGGAGCCTGAATGCATGCTGCTTGGGCTTATGGATGACATTTATGAGTTTTCTAAGAACTTCTCTCTTTGGCTTGATGAGTTGGAGGAGATGCTGACCAACAATAGGATCTGGCGAAATTGGACAATTGACATTGGGGTTGTAACAGCAGAAGAAGCACTTAACTATGGTTTTAGTGGAGTGATGCTTCGGGGCTCAGGCATCCAGTGGGACCAGAAGACCCAGCCCTATGACGTTTACAACCAGGTTGACTTTGATGTTCCTGTTGGTTCTCGAGGGGACTGCTATGATAGGTACCTGTGCCGGGTGGAGGAGATGCGCCAGTCCCTGAGAATTATCGCTTGGGAGCAGAGTTGTACCAGAAATAACCCCTGTGGAGGCTGAGGGCATGGTTGGTAGAGACAAAAAAGTGGTGAATCGGGCACACCCCATGAAAGGCGTCTAGTCCAACCCACTGTACATTCAGCCCCTCCACAGGGATGCTGAGTGTTGATGGAGATGGTCTTACGGTGGTGCAGATGGTTCCAGAAGCTCACAGTCCACCAGGCCCCTGACCCCCAACCCTTTGGGAAGGGTGTCTCCATTTTCCTAGGCTGCTGTCTGCTTCTCCATCGAGGCCTTCTCCACTCTCCTCAAGTTGTTCATCTCCTCAGCCACCCTCACCCTCAGTGATAACCTCGCCTCCTTCCTCACAGAGAAACCAGATGCAATCAGAAAGCAAATTCCTCGTCCTCCTGCAGCCCACCCCCAGAAGTGTTCATGTTTACCCGACAAGTAACACCATCACCCCTTCTGCCTAATGCAGCTCTCCCTCTGAAGGTCCAACGCCATCAGCCTCCTAGGCCTCCTGGGGACCCTGCTCCTCCCTGCACACTCTCCTTTATTTTCAGCCTCTTCATCTCCACTGGGCCCATCTTGGTTGGAGTTCCCTCAAAAGCAGACCCTGAAACAAGGGTTTGGGGACAAGCAGGTATTCCAGGAAGTGAGGAACTAGGCAGGGGAGGAGAAAGTTCCAGAAAGTGCTTTAACAAGTAGGTCTCACCACTGGGGGTGAGTAGGGCTCTCTCCTGCCAGTGACCGCCTGAGGAACCACGTGGAACTCACCCAGAAGTCGTCCACAGGGATGAAGTTGATGGGTTATCTGTCCGCTGCCCACAGCATCACCTCCTGAGCATGGCTGGGTTGTGCCTGCTCCCTTGTGGCCAGAGAAGGTCCCCGGGCAGGAAAGAGAGTGGCCATCCTGGGTGTGGAGAAGCAGATCCAAGCAGTAAAGGGGAGGACTGTGGCAGATGCTCTGCTGCACCAGTCGCATTTCCCCTTAGGAATGGGAGGCCCATTTGCCAGCTGCTGCGATGCCATTGGCAGGCAGGCCCCTTCAGGGATGGCCTCAGCTGATGCGGGCTGCCCACCCCAGGACACACTCCCTTCCCAAGGTGGCCTGCATCTAAGGAGAGATGGGCATGGAAGTGCAAGAGCTACCTCATCTTCCGAGCTCCCCGTGGGGGCTGGCATCCCAGGTCAGCTTCTCCCTCAGCCCAATCCTGCTTGCCTCCATTCCATTCTCTTCCAAAGGCGTTGATCCCAAGAGCAGCCTCTAACCAACTTCCTGCATGTTCTCTGCCTCAGAATCAGCCTCCTGGGAACCCAGCCTGAAGCAATCACTCTGGAGAAATGCTGTACTGTCAACATTCATGATGGCAGAAAGAGCATGGATTGAAAAATTATGGATGTCAATGACTGAGTTGAGACGGGTTCAGAAGAGTAGGGCTCTAAATGTAAAGAAGTTTAACAGTAGTTTTTCTGCTTTATTGCAGATATTGACAACACCCATCCACTTCCCTTCAGCCCCACCGCTCCATGCCCCCAACCCTTCCAGCTGTAAGCACCTGTGCCTTAACTCGAGGGCACTCCCTGGCTGCACAAACCTGCAATCCCAGGGAGCTTCCCTGATCCCATGACTGGCAGAAGTGGTGGATCAATACCCCAGCTCTCTTACCTCAGTTGGAGAACACTGAAGCACATCCTCACAGTTGCCTGGAGGGTCCCAGCAGAATTGAGCCATAGTTGCCTGCAGAAGTGACCAGATTATGAATGCACCCTTCCTTACGGCTTCCTCCCCCTCTCCATCTCACCTGGTCCTCAACTGGTGTTTCCTGGGATCACTTCCCAAATAAAGGACTCATTCTCAAATCATATTCTCAGGGTCTGCTTCTAGAGGACCCAGGCTGAGACAGCTGGTATCAGATATGGGCCTAGGAAGTAGCCCCTCAAGAAGGGCTCATTTGCCAACCAGAGGGTCACCGGGTGCCCACTGCTGAGGAGCAAGGTGGTGATCACCCTGGCCCACTGTAGCGTCACAATGCTAAGATGCTCACGTGTTGAGGAGGTGCACAGGTGGGAAGGGTGCACAGGCCTGAGCTACTCCCGCACCTGAGTGGCATGGAGGCAACAGTAGCCACCAGGATGGTGGAGAGGATGGTGGTAGTGAGCTGATGGCAAAGACTGAACCTCAGACTCAGCAGCCGACTCTTTTTTTTTTTGTTTTTTTGAGATGGAGTCTTGCTCTGTCGCCCAGGCTGGAGTGCAGTGGCGCAATCTTGGCTCACTGCAAGCTCCGCCTCCTGGGTTCACGCCATTCTCCTGCCTCAGCCTCCTGTGTAGCTGGGACTACAGGCGCCCGCCACCGCACCCGGCTAATTTTTTGTATTTTTAGTAGAGACGGGGTTTCACCGTGTTAGCCAGGATGGTCTTGATCTCCTGACCTCGTGATCCTCCCCTCTCGGCCTCGCAAAGTGCTGGGATTACAGGCGTGAGCCACCGCGCCCGGCCAACCGACTCTTAACTCACAGAAGAATGCAATGGCCAGAAAACTCCCAGGATGGCATTTAAAATCTGGCCGGGCTTGGTGGCTCACGCCTGTAATCCCAGCACTTTGGGAGACCAAGGTGGGCAGATCACCTGAGGCTAGGAGTTTGAGACCAGCCTGGCCAATGTGGCAGAACCTCACCTCCACATTAACCCCACCTCCACAAAAACACATTTTTGTATTTGTAAAAATACAATAATCTCTTGAATGTGGGGGGGCAGAGGTTGCAGTGAGCTGAGGTCACACCACTGTACTCCAGCCTGGCCAACAGAGTGAGACTCCATCCCCCAAAAGAGTAAAATAAAAGGACCCCATCTTCTGCAACAAGAGGACAGAATATGCTAAAAATTGAGGTCTCAGATGGGATTCTAAGAGTGTCCTCCTGCAAAGGAGGTTGGAGTCACAGCCCTGGCAGCTTGTGCAGCACCGTGGGAGGGACTCTCACACCTCAGCCACACAACAGAGGAGTCAGCACACTAGCTCTGCCACTAAGGCTGTGTGGCCCTGGGTAAGTCACTCTGAGCCTCAGTTTCCCCATCTGTAAACGCAGATCACAATGTTCAGTATCAGAGCCTTGCCCAGTGCGTGGTACATGGTGGAAACTCAGTGAACTGGCTGCTGTTTTTGTTGTTGTTGTTTTTTGTTTTTAACTGTGGGAAAATTCACATAATGTAAAATTTGTCATCTCAGTCTTTTTTTTTTTTTTTTTTAATGGAGGTGTAAATTCACATAATGTAAAATTTGTCATCTCAGTCTTTTTTTTTTTTTTTTTGAGATGGAGTGTCACTTTGTTGCCCAGGCTAGAGTGCAGTGGTGTGATCTCGGCTCACTGCAACCTCCACCTGCCCCAGGTTCAAGCAATTCTCCTGCCTCAGACTCCCGACTAGCTGAGACTACAGGCACCCGCCACCATGCCCGGCTAATTTTTGTATTTTTAGTAGAGACAAGGGTTTCACCATGTTGGCCAGGCTGGTCTAGAACTCCTAACCTCAAGTGATCCACCCATCTCTGCCTCCCAAAGTGCTGGGATTACAAGCGTGAGCCACCTTACCTGGCCTGTCATTTTTATTAAGAAATTTGTTTGCAGAATGCAGGTCTGAACCAAGCCCTGGTCCCTCTCCTACCAGAGTACCTTTGCCTTTAAGTTATATTTTATCACTGGAAACTCTGTTCCCAGAAGGAATAAGAAGGAAACACAAGAGGCAGAAGGTGCAACAGGGGCCAGGGGCCAGGGGCCAGGTACCTCTGCCTCTCCTGCCCCCAGCAGCAACTGGTCCCCACAGAAAGGGCCTGGTTTCGAGAGTCAAAGGAGCCCTGATGGGGTGGCCACAATCACTGTGTTTTTCCAGCATGGGCCCCGCGTCTGGTGCTTCCCCTGCCTAACCCCCGGCAGCCTGTTTAGATTTGGAAATTTAAGTCTTGTCTTTCTCTTCTTTGCAGTAATTAATTGTTCTCACTACCAGGGAGGGCTTAAAAATTAAACTCTACTCTCTCCCCTCTCCCTTTCTGCTGTAGACTGAATGTTTGTGCCCTCCCCTCTCCAAATTCATATTGAAGGCCCAGTGTTCTATTTGGGCCCTCAGTGGGTTGGATGAGGCCCCCCACACTGGGAGGACGGGCATCTGCTTGACTCAGTCCACCCGATTCAAAGGCTAATCTCTTCTGGAGACACCCTCACAGACATGCCCAGAAATCGTGTTTACACAGCGATCTGGGTGTCCCATGGCCCAGTCAAGTTGACACCCATTGACCATCCTATGGAAAGAAAAGCCTAAGTCCCTCAGTTCCCATGGCGAGCGAGCTTCTAGGCCTCTAGTGGCCCCTGCGTGGGAAGCCCTCTGCACTGAGAATGCAGGGCTGAGGCCCCCGGTCACCCTCTCTGCGTGGCCACCCAGCATACCCTAGAGGAAAACCATCCGGACTTTTGGCTCAGGAAATGCCACCCCTTGGAATTTATCAGGGGACAAGCCAATACCCCAAAGTGTATCTGTGAGGCATAACGTAAGGGAGAGATTGTGAGACAGAGCAAAATGCTGATTCCACATAAACCACACATCTCCTGGCCAGAGAAGACCCACGTCAACTCAGAATTGGCTGCAGGCTTCCAGATGGGCACAGACCAGGCAGCAGCTGGGAGATGACTGGAGGGGCCTGTAGCAGGGAGGCTCTCGTGCTGGTAGAAGGTTCCAGCACATCTATTAGAAGCAGGGACAGTTTCTCCTCCTCCCTATTTAATTTATTCATTTATTGAGACCGAGTCTCACTCTGTCGCCCAGACTGGAGTCCAATGGTGCCATCTCTCCTCGCTGCAACCACCGCCTCCCAGATTCAAGCAATTCTCCTGCTTCAGCCTCCTGAGTAGCTGGGATTACAGGCGCACACCACTACGCCTAGTTTTTTTGTTTGGTTTTGTTTTAGTAGAGCCAGGGTTTCACCATGTTGGCCAGGCTGGTCTCAAACTCCTCACCTCATGTGATCCACCTGCCTCAGCCTCCCAAAGTGCTGGGATTACAGTCACCATGACCAGCTCGCCTCCTCCCTTTAAATATCACGTAGCAATAACTGGCACCAGCAGTGCTCTGGTTGAAGGAACAAGATTCTTCAGGTTCCTCATCTGCACCTTAAACCTGGAACCTGTACCATGAACCTGGGTCATTCTCAGAAGCAATGTCTGGGAAACATCCAAGGAAAAACTATTTTGTAAAATTTGCTTGTCAAGATAAGTCATGGAAAAACTGAAGTTTTCACTGAGCAGTAGTATTTTTCCAGATTATTTCCCTCTTCTTTGAGCACATATTTGCATGCAATGATTTGCACAGAATTTAGATTTGGCTCACGCCTGTAATCACAGAGCTTTGGGAGGCCGAGGCGGGAGGATTGCTTGAGCTCAGGAGTTCAAGACGCGCCTGGATAACATGGTGAAACCCCATCTCTACAAAAAAATTTTTTAAAAATTAGGCTGGGTGTGGCCGGGCGCAGTGGCTCACACCTGTAATCCCAGCACGTTGAAAGGCTGAGGCAGGTGGATCATCTGAGGTCCGAAGTTTGAGACCAGCCTGGCCAACATGGCAAAATCCCACCTCTACTAAAAATACAAAAATGAGCCGGGCATGGTGGCACGTACCTATAATCCCAGCTACTAGCAGGGCTGAGGCAGAAGGATCACTTGAACCTGGGAGGCGGAGGTTGCAGTGAGCCAAAGTCGTGCCACTGCACTCCAGCCTGGGCAACAGAGTGAGACACCGTCTCAAAAAAAAAAAAAAAAAAAAAAAAATTAGCCAGGTGTGGTGGTAAGCGCCTGCAGTCCCAGCTAGTGGGATGGCTGAGGTGGGAGGATCACCTAAGCCCAGAGAGGTCGAGGCTGCAG